TTCCTGCTGTCAGCACACCAGAGTTTCATCAGTAGATGCTGCGTGCTGTTTAACCCCTGCATTGTCCAGTCTTGCTCAGATTAACAGCTACGTTGCATTTAAAGCCTTCAGCTACAGATGTTGAATTTACTCCATTAGTACTCACAACATTTTATTCATTAATGAGATTTTACTGTCTGGAAGTTGAACTATAGTGTAGACTGAGCACTAGAGTTTAGTTTACGGATTGTTTTGTCTGCACTCACTGTAGTCCCTTTTGTTTGACGTGTTTAGAATCACAAAACTTAAATGATGAATGAGTAGCCCTAGTGTCTGTTACTGGGAGTATCTGCTGAGCCAGTGAAAGGTCACAGTTAAACGTTATTCAAAAATAATTAGAAATGCAGATGAAATCATTTTGGAGACTAAATTTTCCATTAACATTGTCTCTTTCAAGCTGTTTTTCCTGTTGCAGTCACTTGAATTCCTAAAAAGAAATTTAAATTATTGTTTTTTCACAATTTTTTCCTAAGGGAGATTAGAATCTTACTTTCTTTTCCCAAAAGTTGAAAATACCAATTTTTCAATAATGTTCCCAGGTTTAAGAACAGGTTTTTTTCTTTGCATGTAGATATATGAAAAATGATTTAAACCGTCTACAGCTGCATTGCAAAAACAGAGAGTACGGCTGTGAAATGGTTTGTTCTCTGGAGTCCATAGACAGGCATGAAAGGGAGTGTGAGTACAGCCAGATACCTTGCTCCAATGCCGGTGAGTAACATTCCAGCAAGTGGAATTCTTTATATTCAGAAAACATGTGTTTATCATCTTCCTCTCAGCAGAACAACAATAATGGCCATTATTTTCCAACAGAAATTCAAGGCTTTGGCATGCTCTGCACTTTACAACAGTGTTTTGGAACAGCATACACTACTGATTTATGACAGTCATGATGATTAGCAACTTTCATATCCAAGAGCTAACCAAAATAATTGAGCATGATGGACTTCAGATTTATGGAAATGTAGTAGTGCATTTGTTTCACATTCTGTCAAGTTATGAGTTTGTTTCCCAATGCTCATTGCATGTTCTGGTGTTTGGACCAATGCAGCAGTCCCTACAGAACACTTCTGGTCACAATTTATTTATAAAGCAGCTGGTTGCCTGGTGCATGTGCAGCTGTTCACTCTGTCCCTTGGTTTTAAGAAAAATGTGTCTTGGAAATAAGAGTTGTTCTAAGCTAAATTCTGGTTAGAATTATGTTTGTGCTAAGGGTTTTATTTCAAACAAGCCTACACCTCCTGATGAAGAAACATAGTGCTAAAAAGGAACATACTGTTAAAATTTCCCAGTCAGTTTCATTCAAAATGTTGTATGTTCCCAGATAAACTTAATTAATGATGCCAAGGGCATAGTCGAGTCTGCCATTGTAATTAATTGAGATGATTAAGGAGCTAGAATTGCTCCACTAGAAGTTATAATTTCTCTCAGCAGTAAGTGGCTCCTGCAGATGCTTCAGGTTCACCTGTTCTGCTCCCTACAGAAACAGTAGTGTTCGTAGTTACCACACCCGATGGCTTGTGTGGGAGGCCTCTCACATCTCTTGAACTCTTTCAAGAATACATTGGAGTGTATTTTGAGTACCTCAATTACAAATCATTAAACTTACTAGTAAAGCGGTTCTAAGAAGCCTCTTTTGTCACTTTCTGCTGTGGTTTGTTGTCAAGTTTCATTACTGCATTGTTTCAGCTTCCTTGCATTGATTTTTATCTTCAAATTCAGTGCAGGTTTGTATTACAGCAAACGGTGCCTCAAAGATCGAACATGAAAACTATAAACTTCAAGTTTAGAGTGTTAAATGTAGCAATAATTTATATAATGTTCATTTTTACTTTTGATCACTATAGAACTGCAAATTTTGTATCCTAGAATTTCTGTGGAAATGTTTCTATTTTAGTATCCTTATGAAGTGTTCATAAATATAATTGTTTATTTATGTGGTCTAGTATGTTATAGGCAAGGCCAACAGGAAAACAAGGTTACATTGCATCTCATCCACATCTCTCATACTATATGTCTTTGGACTTTTCACCCTGAATTTGATAGCCTAATTTTTTTTTCATACATGTGCATTCTTCATCAATTCCAGTCACTGCAATCTGATGGAAGCATGGACAAGCTGTGGTGTCTTAGCTTGGCATTAGTATTGTCATTGCTAAAGTTGCTTTAATGCCAGAACAGCAGTAGAAGCCTTTACAGAAAATACCTCTTTCCAGTCTTTTAGTATTTTCAGTGAATGGATGAATCTCCTCACTAGACTTTTAAAGTGTTGTATGAGTAGCTGTGAGTGCATAACTGTCGTATTTCATGTTCTAAAGAAATCACTTCTTTCATTCTTCTAACAGATTGACAGTTGCTTAGCTCAGGATATTGCAGCTTCCTTTCTTGAGTGCTTTTGTTTGGAATTCATCAAACTGCTTTTGTTCCTTATAAATGACTGGCTCCCCTTGCTGTTCCCTGCTCAGGCTGTACAGTGCAGATTGAGCGGCGTAACTTGGACGGTCACCTGGCAGTGTGTGAGTTCCGGAGCCGCGAGTGCCCCAATGGCTGTGGCTACACCATCCTCAGCGCAGAGGACACACAGCACAACTGTGTAGCAGAGCTGAGAACTGAGCTGGAACTACTCCGGTATAAATCTTCTGCTTATTTGGTGTTTGTGTTAGTCTGGGCTTAAATCACTGCAGAAAGCACTTCAGGTACTAGCACTGGATCCTGCTATGTGCTAAGTGGTCTGTTAATTGCTTAATAAAACTCTGTTAATTGCTTAATAAAACTCTGGCCCATTAGTACTAAGTGTCAGAATAGACTGGAAGTTCTTTATGTTTTGATTCTTTTCCTGGTTTTTTTGTCCGAATTATTTTAAATCCTAAAATACCCCTGCTTGAGGTTGAACAGAACTGTGAGCTTTCTGTAGAAAACAACAAAATGCCTAAGAAAACTGAGGCAATGCAATTCCTTCCTTGGCCTGTTATAGACCCAAAGTCACATTATTTAATAATTAGATTTAGTTTGTTTTTACAGATCCAAAAGTTAAAAATCTTTGTTTTGGCAGGTACAGGTAGAATAAACCACTGAAGATCTAATTTTAATTTTTTATCAAAGTCCTGGTAGATTAATAACAGTTGTTGAATATTACTCTTGTTAACAGCACCTTATTTTCCTCTTATTTGTGTTTCTGTAGCTTTCTCTTTCCATTATATTCCAATTGGACACTTTTTTCCCCCATACTCCTGCCCATTTCTGTCTTTCAGCTAAGTGGTTGCTCTTGAACATTGCTGCAAAGTCAGGCTCTAATGTGCTTTAAATACATTGAGACACAAGGGATTCTGCTACCTGGTTTCTGAGCTCAAAAGGTTAATGTGATAACAGCTAGTTCTTGGCTCTGGAGATGAGTAATTAGTATATAATAGTTTACTGGACACTGTCAATTAGTGTCCACCATTAAAGTGGCAAATTTACATAGAACCCTGGAATCCATTAGGTTGGAAAAGACTTCTGAGGTAGTACTAAATAGTACTATCATGCTTCTACAGGGGTGTCCTGTAAAGTTTGATGAGAATCAGATTAGGCTGCTTTCTGGAATTTGAAAATAATTTTTTTTCTGTGCTTACAAGACTTAACAAGGAGAAATAAACTTTTTAGGTCAGAAATGATCTGCAGAGTGGAGGAGGCAAAACATGAGATGGAGTCAAGGTTAGATTCACAGAGAAGGCATATGGTCCAAAAAGAGAGTATTCTGCAGAATGAAATTGAAGAACTAAAGGTAAATACAACCATTACATTTTCTTTTTCTCTCTCTTAACAGCCAGATTTTTGCTTTTCCCAGCAGCAGTCTCTTATTTTGTAAATACAGCCTCATATAGATGAGATTACACTAAGTATGGGAAGCAAAACCAGCCAAGCTTTGCCAGGTTAATGAGCTCTGTTGAGAAGCAGGCTGAGGGCTGTATTCCCATGGCTGATCTGCTCCAGGCTCATTTGGAGCTCACCTGGGTACTCTGTGCAAGAACTGCAGTGTTCTGCATGCACATAACATTGCCAGCAGATCAGTCTGAAACTGTTTTTCAGTGTCTAAACATAGGGTGTACATCACAAATTGAATGTAAATAAACATCCAGCTCCTTTTTTTTTAAAGTGCTCTCCGAAGTGCCTTCGTGCAGTGCTGACACAGAGCCCTACTGCTGAGAGTGATATTTACACTGTGGTCCAGCTGTACTCAGAAGGTTGGAAAGTTGCACTGTTGATTTCATCAAGTAACAAGCAAGGCTGTCTTATTTCTTCACTCATCCAGTCCTTCCTGTATCACAGAATAATGATTTTTAAAGCCCAAAGCAATGGATGTGCTTTGTAGTTTACATTTTTGGTTTTACTGGATTTGATGTTCAATCCTTGAAGAATGTATCTGAATATAACCAAAACCTTATTTTGGTTGGGGTCTTGAAACAGAAAATGCAAGCAGCAACTGCGTAAACCCACAATTTCTTCTCACACTTTATAAGAAACCTTTTGAAAAACTGTGTTGGAATCTTTGACAAGACATCCTAGAAGGTGAATGCTGGATTGTGTCTCAAATTGTTCACTTCTGCTCTGCTATCAAAAAATTATTTCAGTATTGCTTAGTCTTTATACTCCATCACCCTCCATGCATGGCCAGTTCAATGTCAGCCCACTGTCCTGAGAGCAGTTTGTTCCTTGCAGTGAAGGTGTGTTTGCATTTCAGAGCCAGATGTCGCGGATGATGTCAGACGTGCGCTCTCTGATGGCCGCGGAGAGGCAGCACCGCCAAGAGCTGGAGCAAGCAGAGCTGGAAAAACGGGAGTTAATGGAGCTGCTGAAGGGGCTGCAGAAGGACTGTCGGTTAACTACCACAGAGGGAAGCAGGAAGTCAACAAATTTCCGTCCTCTGACACGACTAGAGAGTGTAAAAAGAAAACCCAGGGAAGTTACAGTTATCTAAACAGAAGTAAGCTCAAAACACTTTATCTTCTCATTTCTGTGACCATCTGGCAAACTTTTCTACTTTCTATGAATGATTGGTAAACTTTATATAATTTCTAATTTACTGGTTTTCTTTTCGAGTCTAGATTACAACTGAATTTCTTTTGAAGTCATAAAAACAAATGTGAGATTTTTTTTTTTTCTGAGACAACACTGGGCATTAAAACCAGTAATTGGCAAATACATTTTTAGCCAATGCTTTTATAAAAGGGGGGAAGGAGCCTTGATTTGTTATCTCTTCAGTACATCACTTCCAGGAGTCTTTGAAGCCTGAAAGCTAGAGCCTTTTAAAGTCAAGGATACAGACTGTAATGGACCAGGAAGGAGATAAACTTTAAGTATCTATGTTTCAAGCAAAAGAAAGCAAATGTGATCATTTGTAATGACATTTGGGATGTACTTCATTTTGGGAACAGTGAATAGTAGAATTAGTAAGTCACTGATAGAAATTAATATGATGTTGTTTGTTTATAGTCTGTAGAAGGTCTTATTTCAAAGGCGGAAAGCAAGCACTTTAAATTGTAATTCCTCTGCTCTGTAACAGCCTCAGGTGAGGTTCACTGTTGCTTTAAAGCTTCTCTAATTTCCCAGGCTGATACATACTTAAGAGACTAATACCAAAGCTCAAGGTAACAGAACAATCTAAAACCTTTGAAATAGATGTGTGAGTAACTTGGAGTTTGTGGGAAGGGTCTGCATTTTATTTAGAAATTCAAAGCTTTTGTATGTGAAAGTATCAACTGTTTCTACAGGGTCCTTTAGGCTGTTTGATACTCAGTGTCTTTAAAGCATATATGAATATCTAGAGTGTACTTAATTTTCTTTTGGCAGGTTTAGGTCACTTGAACATTAATATCCACAGCAGATGAATATTTGCACGGTCACTTGGACTTCAGGCATCTTTATTAGTGCTCAAGTTTGCAATAGGATCTTATAGCAGACCCACAAGTACTGAACCAAGGAGGCATTTGTCTGTAAGGACTGCATGAGACCTTTGTACAGTTCAAAGACTTTTCTCTAAACTTCTTACACAGTCTGTTCATGTTGTTTTCAGTGGTATAACTAAGCCATATTCTGTCCATTGCAGCTCATCAGTGGACTGACTGGGGAGGGATCAGCCCTCCTGCTCACTGTGTTAAATCAGTTTTGAACCTTCAGGAAAACGTGTGCAGGTTCAACAACCTGAATGAGTTAATGTTACAGTTTAGAAAGCAGATGCATTACTGTGCATGCCTTGCTGTCACTCAGAGCAATGCTTTTATATCTAACAGCATAACCGAAGGGGAGGTAGAAATCTACTTTAGCACATAGTCTGCATTGTGAAGACTTGTAGTCAGAGCTGTCTGAGTTTCAGGCATTGATAAATCCTTCTAACTGGCTGTTTCTTTCATACCACCAAGGTAGATGTGCACATATTCAGGTCTTGTCTATTTGAAAACTGATACAAATAGCTCTTCTGTGAAAGGTGTGGGGTTTTTTTCTGAAAGGAAACATTCATGGGAAGAGTTACATCCAAGTCTTCACATTTTCAGTCCTTATATATACAGTCATTGAGACCATTTGGGTCACTGTAGCAGTCTCAGCAACTCAGGATGTAGCACATCTCTTAAGCAGCCATATTTAACCATCTGGAACAGCAAACTAGTAGCTGTAATTTGGGAAGACCTTCATTAACATTAAACATTCAGTGGTCAATTCACTTACATCAGTGTGTGTATTAAAGCTGTAGGTAGACCGTAGGAATGCTATTACTGTGTTCTAAGTGAGCAAGCTGTTAGTGTCTGTGGTTTGTGTGACACTTGCAGCATTCACACTAATTTTGAAGCTTTTTGGCAACACCAGATTTCATGCTATTAGATTCAGTCGGTGCTTTTCTGTGTACTGTAACTGTGTGGTTCTGTGATGTGACTTTATCTACTTTGCCTAATGTGAAAGAAGAAAAATTACTTCAAAATCCTATAGAACTCAGATGGGCTGGATCAGCTTTCCGAGTCAGAGGGCAGTAACCCGATCTTTTCTGTTCTGACCACAGAAGAAAGCAAGTTATTACCTCTGTGCTTTCCCCATAATGGGATCTCTGCATTTGTTTGCTTTAGGAACTTCACCCACCTATTTATGTCTAAATTCCTTCTGGTATGGGAAATAGGGTTTATTTAATATTTACTTAGCGTTTGGCCTGCTGTCTTTTCCCTAAGTGACAGACATGAAACTGCATGAGAAAACGCAGGTGGTGAGGAAGGACTTTCTGCTGTGCAGTCCAGCTCTGGAAAGTCTGAACTTCCAGTGTGGAAATGTGGCAACACTTTATGTGCACCTGCTGCTGGAGTGACCTGTCAGCTTAGGTTTCCTTCAGCAGCAAAGAAGCACTTGCAGAGAGATTTTAAATGGGCACATAGTACCCAATAGCTTAAGGTCCCTCTGGTGACTTTAAGCTTTATCCTATTCCTCTGGATTGATAACTACTGTGCACTTCAGATTTTGCTCTGCTAATGAACCCCTGATGGGCTAGCATTGCTAGAGTATTGTCATCATTTGGACTTGCAATTGACTAGACTGAAACTAAATAGCCCATTGTGTTACTATTTCATCTACTTCTAGCTTTTCCGGTCTCATGTATTATGCAGCTCTTAATAGCAGTTGGCAGAAGCAAGGGATTTCTTTACTTTCTGTCAAATAGTCTGTTAATCCTTTTCATAAAAACTGAGGGCCCAAGTTGGGCGCCAAAATTTGTGCTGGTTTGAAAGCAAAACTGTGAGAGACTCCGAGTCAGAATGAAAATTTCACATGACCTACGCAA